CATGTCTTTTTCTTTAAATACATCATTTATCATAATTGAGAACAATAGTGGACTTATAATACTCCCCTGTGGAGTTCCATTTTCTACTTTATATTTTCCTGAGGTAGTTTCTCCTATTCTAACTTGTATTTTCCTACCTGTTAAAAAGTCTTTAATCCATTTAAATATTCTCCCTTTAATACCAAACTTGTATAATTTAATTAATAATCCATCCACCCACATCATGTCATATGCCTTTTCTATATCAAAGAATATAGCCACTACACTTTCTTTATTTACTTGTGCTCTTCTAATTTCGTGCTCTAAACAGAGCGTTGGATCGTTAGTGCTCCTCCCTTTTCGAAAACCACTTTGATATTTTGATATATATCCTTTACTATTTAGATAATATACTAATCTACTATTAATCATTTTTTCCATTATTTTACATAAATTAGGTCTGTAGTTTTCTGGGTTTGAATCAAGCTCGCCACTATTTCTTCTTCTTCTCTTTCTAGAATTCTTCTTCCTCTTCTTCTTTTCTATTATGGCGGATCGCAAGCAACTTTAAGGTGTATACCGCCACCTATTGTACATGAGTGTGTAGCAACATTACTGTACTTATCATCAAATTCATTTTTGTTTTATTTTGTATTTTGTAGATAAATAATAAAAAAATGCTTTCCTTAATCTGTGAATATCCTTTATATTTCCTTCATTTCCCAATATTCCTTTAAGACTCAATCCTTCCAACCATCCTTCTTCCAACCTCTATTTCTCCCTTTCATGTTAATAAGTTTTACAGTTCATCAATACAATTTCTTTTTCTCCACATCCTTCACATTTACCATTATTTTCCTTCACTATTAAATATAAATTGCCATTTAAAAAGGTATGACCCACTCTTAATCTGATCATTATTACTTCTTCCCTTCTGTTTCTCTCATTAATGATTCTATTTAATACTGATTTTTGTACCTTATTTAATCTCTTCCTTTCTTATCTTCATTTCACCTCTTTTGCAATGTTTCAATTTCTTTAATCTTAAGAAGTGATTTACCTTCTAATAAGTGATTTACCTTCCCCTTTCCTCGGCTCTAATTGATTCCTTACATCCGGGTATTTGGATGGGGGTAACTGAAGGGGGAACCCTTTTTGGACACTACACGTAGGCAGAAAAAAAAAAACAAACAAACAAACAAACAAAAAACATTAGCGTCTCTTTTATAACTCTAAACGAGTCTTTTGTTCTGCCAAATATTTAAAACCGGAACCATTGGTCTTTATTTAATGCTGCCGTGTTATTTTGGATCTTGCTGCCATGGTGTGTTTAATTACCTCCCGAATAGTCGGAATTTCTAATTTTCTATTCAAGACTGTAGTGTCGAAATGTCCAAAAGTATATTTATTTATTGAAAAAATCCTGAATTTTTTAAATAGAGGAAAGTAGCCTAATATTCTTTTGGGAAAAAAAATACTTTTTCATTAATTCTATTTTTGTTTGAATTCACATATACACAGAAAAGAATGGATGTCCTGTATGCTTTCATATATTTGAAAGTTTTCCAACGATATAATATATTTAATTACATATCTTAAGATGAATACAAATGAAGAAGGTGTTTTTGGTTAATTTGAAGATCTGAAACCAAATACTGAACTTTAAAAAATGTTTTAGGTACAGATTTTGTAACAAAGGGGTAGCAGTTCAATGAAAATGGACTTTTGGTTAATCTTATAGAAGCAGCTGTTTACTTTAATGGCTGCTCTGAATCTGATTTGAGGAATTTTATGGTTTTAAATGGCTAAATTCAATAAATTATTTTAAAAGAAAATCCATATAATTTGTCACTTGCTAATGCTGATACTTTCCAAATTTGTTTTAACCTTTTTTAAAATATTTTTTGACCAAAACATTTTTTAGTAGGAGAGTGTAATCAAAATAAAAATGGCAAGAGAGATGGGCAACAATTCTTGTCTAATATTAAAATAAAATATGAAGATAGTGTTGAAGCACTCTGACATGGGGGTCACCATTTCAGTTCTTGCAGGAATCATGTACCCCCACATGAGTATCCCATATGCCTGTTCTAAGAAATAGCCTAACCCTCCATTAAACAGCATCAGAACAATTCAAATGCTTGTTTTGTTATAAATATCTGCATTTCTATACATTTCAAAATAATATTGAAATAAAATATGTAAGTAAAAAAAATCTTAAAATTTGATTTATGTTTATGTAGTTTTGGTGAATTCTGACACTTTTAATTCTAAGATCAGCAACAAATTCTTAGTCACCCAGATCTTGGCAACCTGAAAATAGGCTTCAATTCCCAGGCAGCCAGACCTTTGCTCAGTTTTTAAAAATTCTTTTTCTGGGGGGGTTGCATTAGAGCTGCGAGAATTGACAAAGACACCTCAAAAGTTGTTAAAAACATTTAACTGGGTTTTATGCTCACTTCGTATGACAAAGTATCCATGAAGTTGTTCTCAGTAGGAATATACTGTGAATGTTGGGCTGTTTATTTAATGCTATGATGGTAAAAAAGTAGGCCTATCCCTTGAGTTGGCCTAGTGGTTAGGGCATAGAGCTTTGAATCCTGAGGTTGTGAGTTTGAGCCCCACTCCAACAGACTGCCACTCTGGGTCATTGAGCAAAAGACAATTTTTTTTTTTTGAGTTTCACAGCACTAGTGGCTGTGAGACAGGCGGCAAAGGACCACAAGTCGGATTCAGACCCAGGTCAACTGCTTCGAGCAATAAGGCCTCCATATATGGATCTTGTGAGCTAACCACTGCACCACCGTAATACACCCTGAGCAAAAGACCCTTAACCCCACACTGCTCCCCAGGTTCCGCACAATGGCAGCCCACTGCTCCTCAGGGGGATGGGTTAAATGCAGAGAGTTCATTGTGCTGCCCTGTGCTTGTTAAAGTGTAATGACAATACATTTTTAAAAAAAATGGAATTTCAATTTGAATTATTAAATCAACTCAGAAGAATGCTGACAGAGTTTGTGTCATTCTTAAGAGGCAAATAAATTTGGCAGCTATTTTTACAAAAGGAAAGGAGAAACCAGGTTATTAACTATCCATAAAATGTCTTAGTGTAATAAAATAATTACTGTTTCCAAA